GGGTGGGGGACACGCGGGGACCGCCGCTGTCCCCCGCGAGGCCGTGGGAAGCTGCCGGGGACCGAGGGACGATGTAGAAATAAACGCGAAGTACTCGAAGAGAGGGGGTGCGGGGGGGGGAGAGTGAAGGGAGGGGGGGGGATGCGGGGGGAGCCGCTCTCAATTATTAAAACGCAAAGACGCCGGGACACCACCGAGAAGCAGGAGGAGGGAGGAGGTGGAAATGCTCTAGGAAGCCGCGGGGGTCACTTCTGCAGCCCCATCCCCCTTCTCCCCCTTCTCCCCCCCCATCACTCCCAACTCAGATCCCCCCCCCCTCCGGCAGAAAGTGGGAGAAAGAGCAACTTAGAGCGTAACCACACAGACACACACCAATAAATACCGTGACAGCAACAGCCACAAACCGACCAACCTAAGTCACAACTTTCAGAAGGAAAACAAAAAAAAACATCCGAACAACAAACCCGAAGGCGAAAACTGTCGGTGACGATGCTACTGCGTTTGTTTTGCTTTGGGTCTCTTTGCGTTGCTTTTTCTTTCTTAAGAGTTTTCTTTCTTTTCCCTTTGCTCGGTAAAGGAGGACGGCGCTGGGGGCTGTGGGGTTGCTCGATTTGGGGGCGGCTTTTGTCTTTGGTTCTGGCTGTTTGGCGTTGGTTTATATTTTTTGGTTGTTTTTGTGATTTTGCTTTTATTTATTTACTTATTTTTTTTTTCTCCTCGAATGCTGTTTTTCGCGAGGCTTTGGCGATGGGTCTTGTCTGCGCCGGGGGAGCGGAGGGAGCCGGGCTGGGGCCGGGACTTGGGGCTGGAGCAGGGGCCGGATCCGTGCCTGCCCCTCGGTGCTGGGCACCCGGAGCGCAGCCGCTCGGGAGCAGCCCCTTTGCTCCCCGCTGCTGCCGCCGTACCCCAAAAAGTTACTTCCGAGCCCCTTTGTCTCTGCGGGGTTGGCTCTCCCACCCCTGCCCCAGCGGGGATGCTCCCTCCGCTCCCCCTAACCCGAGAGGAGGTGCAGAGAGCTTCAGCAGGGCTCGTGTCCCCCGGCACCCCCGTAAAACCGCTGGATTTGGGGTTCGTGAGCAAGGTCCCGGCCCGGCTCCCCCCGAGGGTTGGGGGTTATTTCAGCCGGGCAGCGACCGCAGCCCCGGTGCGAGGAGGCAGGGGCTGAAATGACATTTGGCTCAGTGGCAACGGGAAGGGGCTCGGAAGTCGTTTGGTGGAAATAATACACCTTTGGGGGGGGGGGCTGCTGGCTTTTTGGGGGATGGGGGTGGGGGGGTCCGTTTGCACTATCCCAGCCTCCCGGCTCGGCAGCGATGCTATTCCGCAATAACGGTGCTGGTACTGCTAGGCAGGGTGTCTCGCGGATCGGGGAGGGGGGAGGGAAATAAATAAGCAAAAAAAAAAAAAAGAAAGAAAAAGGTCAGAGCTCCTCATGTGAAACGCCAGCTAGGTGCAGAAGCCATTGCAGGGTCCGGCTGTTACGGAATGACTGTTAATGCTTTTAAGTAAGGCGGTATCTGTGAAGGGAAAATACCCTCCCGTCTAAATCAAAACAAACAATAGACTGAAATTATGCATGACCTAAAAAAGACAAGGAAGAAAAAAGGCATAGAAAGATCCGTGATAAAGTCTCGATATTATTTATTTATTTAACTATTTATTTTATTATTATTATTAATATTATTATTATTATTTTGTGTATCATTGTTTGCAGCGCAAACATTCTATGCATTTTGAAACTGAGCACTAAATAGACTAGCTTCTGGTAGAATCTTTTGTGGATGGTGTAATTTCACAGTTTAACTGCCTGTTTTCACCGAAAACACAAACATTCTTGTCACGTTCTTGTATTTAGATTTAAAAGAGGTAAAAAAAAAAAAAAAAAAAAAAAGGAAAAAAAAAAAAGAGGACGATTGTAAATATTTTCTTTAATGCACAAAGAAAAAAAAAAAAGGTTACAAACTGCAACCACGTGTGGATCCTGAAATGTCTCACTGAATAATCTACCTGTCCATGTATGTTTGCTGAGCTTTCTCCTTGGTTGTGTCTTTACTATATTACTTTTATTTCTATCAGAAATATTTCTGTACGCCAAAATACACAGGGA